TGTATAACTGAAAACTTAACTATTTTCATTTTGAGAGAAATCATCACTTTACGCCTCCAAAGGAAGATACATGTTTTTATCCGTCATATTATAATGAGAAAGTAAAATTTAAAGGAATATACAGTGAAAGCTACATTCCAACGCTGTCAAAACATGCTCCTTGATCAACCTAAACCCATTTTCACACATACAGAAATCTCCTGAAAAACTCTGGAGATTAATCTACCCGGAGGTGCTTTAGGCTATGTGTGAACGCAAACAGCTGACTTTTTTTTGCGCAGACTTTACCTGGAGTTTCTCCTGCCAGACCCCTAGTATTTTTTTTTCCCGCAGAAAGTCCGAGTGATCTGATGTGCAAACGCAGCAGCATATACTCTGGAGAATTCACCTTAAGCCAATAGGAAGAGAATGACGTTTATATACAGTGACTGCCTAAAGTGTCTGCACGAGACCACTACGATCTCCGTGCACGTAATTAAACGTCTGCATTCTGTTCGTCAGTGTGTTGTTCTCCACTCTTTTGTGGATGTTGTCATTCCATTGGACTCCACAGAGCATTGATATAAAGTCAAATATTCTCATTATAATGTTGTGTAGTGGACTCTATGGCTTTGGCTGCTACTTTTGCGTTGTTTTTTTACAACATGTCTTACCTCAGGAAATCCCCCAATCCCCCTCCCCCACAGGGATAGTCCCCCCCTGAGAGAGGCATCGCCAGGTCAGGAGAATCGAAACCGGCTCTAGATCTCTCAGATTTCTCACCACAACCACCTTAGCCTACTCTGGTGGTCCATTTAACTTTATAAAAACTTTTCCAGTCCTTGTCCATGTTGCTTGAATTTTGGCCATTTATGTACAACCCAGTGTCCTTTGTTTTGTTTTTTTACTGTCTCAGCACATCAATCTTATCCTTTCTCTTAACAAACTACACAACAATTGTGAGACAGGCCGAAATGTGCACACTCTTCAGATGAATGTTCTTACTGCTCAAGAATTGAACAACTTGTTTCTCTAATGTATGCAGTTACCCAGGTGGTGCATCCTCACCTTGACGGTCACTTTCTGCGATGTTTGGTATCCAGCCCAGTGATGATAACATCATTTACACAAGAGTATTGCTCCAGATTGTCAATTCTTTGTTCCAGTAGTTCAATCCTATTTGAACTACTGTCTCTATTCAAGAGGTGTGTGCCGTAGCGTGCTGGGCTTCACCCCACACTTTTGCTAGATTTTATAAATTGGATGTCACAGCGCCAACCATGGCACATTCAGTCCTCAGTTCGGTTTCTTCTTAGGGTGTGGCTCCCATTGTGAGAAGGGCCACTGGGGACAGTTGTCTTCATATCAGGCTTGTCTGGCAATACGGGAGTCAGTATTTTCCCCATAGTGAGACATGAAACAAATGCTGTGAAAGAGAACTTTTAGGTTATTTCCATAACCCCGGTTCTCTGAGTAGCATGAGTGAGTGTCTCACCAGACCACCCTCCTTGCTATGGAAGCGAGGAAGAGGTGAGCTTGTTTAAATGTCGGCTGACGCTATGCCTGCCTATTATATAGGGGGAGGGTCCCCTCCCCTCCAGACGTCATTCTTGCCAGCCAATGAGGGCTGGTGTAGTGTCATTAAGCTTCTGACGAGGTCACGCAGGAGGCGTTCCCCATAGTGAGACACTCACTCATGCTACTCAGAGAACCGGGGTTATGTAAATAACCTAAAGCTTCTGTTCAGTCTCTGTTGTAGTGATGTGTCGGTTGAAAACGAGCAAGTGAACGATTAGAGCCGGCTCCTATCCGCGAGACTGCAGAATGCAGAATTTGGAAAATTAAGCTGTCATATTGAGTAGGGTCCACAAAAAACCTTCACAGACACATGAGAACTGTACATCCAGCAGTTCAATTGGAAGAAAAAAGGCAAGCTAGTGTGCCTGCTTCTGCCTGTCATCGGGTGGTGTCAGAGTTGATCTGTAAATGCAATGAAAACAATTAGCTACAGCAATTTATTGACATTAGAACATGTAATTTTTACTTTTGAAAACTTCAGTACAAAGGATGCATTGAATCATTTAGGTGATATATGTGTACACATACAAATCACAAGTCAAAACAGCGCTAACTTTGGCTAAATTATACAAGGTATATGTGGTAAAATGAGGAGCCGTTTGGGAGCCGAAAGGCTGGCTCTTCTTGGTGGGCTGAGCTGAGTCCCTGCGAACATCGAGTCATTTCATACTGACTGCGGTCAGAACGCTCAGCGCTCAACACGGCCTGAAGAAAGTACTTCCTGGCCCTGTAGCCAATCATTGCAACGCGGTCGGCACGAACCCTTCCGCGTTGTTACAAAATCTTGGAGGTGCCCGGCTGGGTGCTCCGACCGTCTGCGGACCCTCCTCACGCCGGCCTCGAATGCACAATATCGCCACACCGACCGCAAGAATCATGAAACCTGATTCAATGAGTCGTAATGTGCAGCACATGGCTAATTTACATAACGTTATTTTTCCGTGAAAACACTGTGGAAAGATTCACAAGCACATTTTCCACATAAACCCTGCCACTCTGATGCCAGAGGAGGAGAAGCACAACCTTCTGGACAGCATCAAAATGGAAGTAGAGGAAGAAGAGAAGAAGCCTTGAGTGAGGATTGACCTCGCCAGCTTCGTTTGTTTTTGGTTCTTAATCGTGATATGAAATAAAGTTACCTCCAGGCCATGCATCTGAAGCCTTTCTGCAGATTCCCAATCTCTATTTTCTTTTTTGCTGTTTGTAGACATGTCCATTCATGCAAAATAGCAGACAAAATGCATCATGTACAAGAAATACATTGTCAAGAATGTAATAGAATAAAGTGGCACAATTTATCAGATGTTAATATCTTTACTTCTTCTCCCTTCTTTTTTCTTTGTCTCTGGTCCCAGTTGGAACATCAGTGGGTGTGTGCTTGACATATCAAGTGCCAGCAGATAATACATCTAAACCTGTTGGAGGTGTGATAGTACCAGTCCTCTACTTACTGACTCATAGAGGACCAAGCCACTGCATGATGCTTCAGGGGGAAGGCCTGGCCCAGCTAATTCAGCATTCCTGCCAGATTTAAAGTCTTATGAGGTCTCCTATCCTTCGCCTTTCCTCTGTTGAAGGACTTGTAAAAAGCATCTGTCACTGCATCAACGAGAACACCAAAAGGCATGACTGACGGTAATCCTCTGAGGTAAAGTCTACTTTGCAAATCATACTGTGTGCCCAAAAAATGTATTAACATGCACTGTTATATAATAATGATATATTAACCTAGATATTGACTGACGAGCATTCTACTTGCAGCAACAAGCAGTTTTCTCCATACATATCAACATCTAAATGTATTTAGTCAGGTGACCTGTTTTACTATAATTTAAAGAAAATGTCATACATTGATATACATCCTGTTGTTGGCAGAGGTTGGTGTTGATTGCATTTTTTTTACAAATCCTGCATGAATTGAAATTTGCTTTTTTGGGATATAATGATTGAAAAACCCATTACTATTGTATTTCTAAATATTTAAAAACTTTCAATATCATAAATGCAAAAGGAAACATCTGGAAAAATTCAGCTCGTTTTGTATGGAGATGGATTTCTTCTTTAATCCCAACCCATTCAGACACAACTACATGCACCCCAAAAATGGAAAATACTTGCTCTAATTATCTGCATATATTACATGCATGCAAAAAAAACATGTAAGAATGTGAAGGGAGCATCAGGTGGATGGCTTCATTATTGAATGGAAATTTGGCAAAAATGTTTGCATCTATGATAAATGGACAGGTAATATATGCCTTTGTTTTCAGTCTGGACCAAACTGGTGGTTTAACTATTTAAAGGAATGGTGAAAAGATAACATTGCATATTCAGAGCTTTGGCTTATTAAATTAGCCTTGCCATTTATTTGAAAATATCTAGTTAGACATGAATTATTGTGAACCCCTGCAAAAGAGAAAGACTGCTGATATCTGTAGAATATACAGTATACTCTCTGTATCAAACAAGGTTCAGATCATGAAGTATCTAATAGGTTGCACAGCAGATATTGCTGCTTGCCATCGGGTTTTCGTGGTCACTGAAAGCCTTGCATGATTCTCTCCCTTCTCTGATTAAATTAATCTCGACTTTACTTTTCAAAACGTTTAATTTTTAAGATTTCCACTATAGCCTCTATTACGCCTCAACCGACAGGCACAGACTGTGAGTCCAAGCCTATACTGTTTGAACACAGTTGTCACAAATTCTTTAAAATGCAGAATAAATAGCAATTAGTAATTGCAATTTTATTTATACAGCACATTTCATCACAGATAAGCTCAATGTGCAGGAATAAAAAACACTAATTTATTTTTCAAATCCTAATTTGTGGTAATCTCAACTGTTTCTTTTTGAAAACAAAAACTTGGATGTAGGCCTGCACAATTAAAGGGATACTTCACCCATTTGCATTAAGCTTTGTATCATCAGAAACCTGGTAGTATTTTTGAATGGTCGTGCATCCCGCCCTCATTTTCCCCTGAGATGGGAAAGCTTTGCATTCTTGTCTGAAAAGGAGCCTCCGATGACGCAAAAATCATAATTTAGCGTCATCGGATGCTGCTGTGGTTAGAGGGGGTGAAACTACATCGCTAGTTCCTCATATTTTCAACCCACTGACTACAGATCAGTGGGTGGGACCTCAAAACTCAATGTCCGCCATCTTGCTTGGAAGCTATGCTAACAGGCTCTATGGAGAAAGCTGATAAGAACCAACAATGGAGAAAAAGTCAACTTCAAACTGATATGAATGAAGGGGATTTTAAAAGTCTGTTCAATCGAAATCGGAGGTTCGTTGCTATCTCTACGAGCCGCAAAATAGCGGCGAGGTGGCTGCTGCCCTCTGGAGACCTCTCTGTCAGCAGCTTGTCCTCTTGTCTGCTGTCTCAATTCCAAGGATCTGAGTTACTGATTGATTTCATGTTCTTTCCACAGAAGTAAAGGAGGCAGCAATGGGCTGGACTATGACTCTGAAACATGCCTTTGGTTTCATTGCCTGGATACAGCCAGCAAGGACCTACCTCAGCTTCTATCTGCTCTTGTCTCAATTTTTCTTGTCAGTCCAGCCAGGAATTGTGTTTCCAAATGACCATAATTTCTCATGGAAAGCAGGTAAAAAGTTACGTTATTCTTAATCATTGTTATAATCACATGATAACTCAATACAACCCAATGTTTTAAACCAATATTTTCTGTCTTTGACCACATTTTATTTAACAATGACAGAAAAATCCAAAGGTGGTCCGTCATTATGACAGATTAGAAAGCTGATGGAGATCCACCATTCTTGGAAAATCCAGTACAACATTTAAATAATGATTAAAATGCAATCAAATGGACACACAGCAACAATGCTTGCACAGTAGAGTAGTTAACATACAGGACAAAGACCCATCAGTTTGGCGTTTCACACCAGTTGGCTCACTCCCTCTCCCCAACACTCAAGTATTTGGGCAGGTGTGCAGTTAATAGGGGAAGCAAACTTCCACAATTAACTTTGTTTAATCTTAGTTTCCTTGGTCAAAACAACAGTCAGGTAACTTATAATGTCTAACCAAGGGTTTAAATGTGTATGTGCCCAGCACAGATATGTTGTCTTTCATTCTGATATTGAGAGAATACAACTATCTGTCTCAGCTGCTAAGTTAGTGTATTGGGCTGATTCTTGATCAAGCTGAAGCTAACAGACTCCCACAATGAGCCTCATGAGGAATCTGCGCTAGTATACTTGTGCTATCATTTTTGCAAAGTCTATGGGGCAACACAGTAACCAAGTAACCCAGAACATTTTTTAATGAATGAATTGTCAAATGTAGGTGCTTCTCTCTCAAATAACATTGACAACATTGTGGGCAGTATGAAGTTAGATCAGTCTCATAAAATGTATTTCTGATTCACACAAAAATATTTATTGGTTTATATGTAACAGAAATCCACAAATATATGATATACATATATATATTTAAAAAACACATTTGTATCTTGTTACATTTATACACAAACTATACAGTCTGCATTTACAAACTGTTTGTCATTGTGAACCTCACTGCATTTGTGTCTGTTTGTTCATCATGTTGGGTATATTGACTGCGTGTCATTATATCAACATACAGTCTCACCGGTGTAACGGTTTAACTGGTGTTGAATAAACTGGTGATATTCCGGCCGATGTGTTGGGGGAAGTGGCTTTTGAAGGACCCATTGTTTACGATTAATAACTTTCCATCTATAGTACGACAATCACAGAGACTGTTTGTACTTGTATTTGTGTCAAAATAAAGGAGACATCTGATTGGCTACAGACATTTCCCTGCTGAAAAATATGCATTTGTGAATCGAACCACAGCAGGGGAGTCTCAAAAATCCCACACACAAATGCAGTGAGGTTCACAAGTGACAAACCGTTTGTAAATGCAGACTGAACAGTTTGTATATAAATGTAACAAGATCCAAATGTGTTTTTGATGAAAACTGCAAATACTTGGGCTGCAATACTGCAAATATATATGTATATCATATATTTGTGGATTCCTGTTACATATAAAACAAATAATTTTTGTGTGTCAATCAGAAATACATTTGTGAATTCCTTCTGTGTGTGTTCATGACTGATCTAACTCCATAGGGCAGTCCTTTAGATTACTTAGAAAAACGTTGTGGCTGCATCTTTCATTTTGAGCCCCCACAGCTTAATGAAGTACTGTAAGTGATATCATTAAAAATCTAAAAATAACCTTGGCTGGCTATGATGAAATTAGTAGTTTTTTAGCGAAGGAAGTATCAGATTATACTAGAGCCTTTCACTCATATCTTAGGAGGATCTCTGGCAACTGGTGTTGTCCTCAAACAGCTAAAAAAGCAGACATTATACGATTGTTTAAAACTGGTGATCAAAGTAATTTTACAAACTATCGTCCTATATCCATTTTACATTGATTTTCAAGACAACACATTTATTAAAACATTCACAAGAAAATCTTATCCAAACAATATAGATTTAGAAAGGCCAGTTCTATTTACAAGGCCAGCTACAAATAATAATAAATACTTGGCATTTTCTTAGACTTATCTCAAGCATTTGAAACTGTCAATCACAATATTTTATTTGCTAAATTACAAATATTTGTATTCATGTTTATGCATGTATGTATGTATGTTTATGTATATATATACACACATAATTGTGTAATCACTATGGTCACATTGTTTTTGTCAGGTGGCCAATTCATTAAAGGTGTTCAGTTTAATTGGAATAACACAGACAGAGGACTGAACAAGATATGTGATTTGATTATTTGATTGAACGCTGATCCAGTGATAGCCTCATTAGAAAAATTTAAATTGAAATGAGGTGAAATAATACCCTGTCTGTCAAATGTCAGACAGCAAGAAAAACAAACACTGCAAACATTTAAAGGACAATGCACCTATATCTTCTGTGAAGCTGTTTAAACTCTAAATAATAGGTTATTATTGGTAATAATTGATTACTTGTCCCTGCCTACAGCGGACACAGTATATTTGAATACTCAATTTCACTCACAAGCTCCCTTAAAAACTTTGACTTGCAAGTACAGAAATGATGTGATCTAAATAAAGCACAGCCAACCTATTGTGTGTTTCAAGTGTCTATCTAGGCCAGCAGCATTGTTGGGTAATTCATTTGTGTGAGCGGGTTCCCAGAGCTGTGTATAAGCTGCAAGTTTCTGGCTCAATGACAGATCTACAGTTGTTAAAAGATTGACCTTCATCATTGCCTCAGAATACATAGTAGAGCACTGAAACACAGCTGCTCAAATATTATCCCTTTTAAACATCCTATTTGCTTTCTTTGCCAGGGAGGCACACATGTATAATTAATTCACACACAATGAAGCAGTGTGTCAGAACAGCGATATTTAGTGTAATCACTGAGTAAAATACAAAAATGTTTAACATATGATGTTTTTTCTTCGACTAGAACAAAATTTGGCACTCCCAGCAGAAATCAGAATACCAATTATTATTGATATACAAATTGTGCTTTATTTTGATTGGCATATATTGATGGCATTATATTGGGTGGCTGTGGCTCAGTTGGTAGAGACAATCATCTATCAACCAGAATGTTGAGAGTTCAATCCCCGGCTCCAGCAGCAACATATCTGATGTGTCCCTGGGAAACACCCTTAACACTGAATCGCTCCTGCTGCTTCATCAGCTGGGTATGAATTTGAATAGTTACCTCTGATGGTCACTTTACTTATCAATCTCTGCCATCAGCATGTGAATGTGTAGGTGTGACCTGTGGTGTGATGGAGCTTTGAGTAGTCAGAAGATTAGAAAAGCACTATTTACACTCAACTGCTTAAATTTTTTTAGTGGATATATTTATGTTTGTTTAGGAGATTTATTTTGTATTAAACTGTTTGCAACATTAGTGTAAGATCTCTTGGGGGAAAAATGTCTGAAAGAAGGGATTTCATTTCTTATAAAATTGTTGAACTACACCGTCTGCTGTTGATCTGCGACGATAGTTTTTTGTGGTTTAATAATGTGAGGTCAACATCCCGAGAGTTCTCGGTTTGTTTTTGATTGTTTTGTCAGTGGATTTCTTCACCACAGCCAGCACCTGGCAAACTTTGTTTTGAGATTAGCAATTATTTGCTTTGGAAATAGATAACCTAGAAGTGGGTGATATGGCAAAAATATCATATCACAATTTGTTTTTGGCAAAATCACGATCACGATTTTATTTTTTTCATACTGATCATAAGACTAATAAGACTAAGTTACTGACCAAACGTTCAACCAAACGTATTTCCCTGTATAATGTTTTTAAATGCACAAAAACTGTTCTGATAAGTTTAGTCTATTTGAAAAACATCTTTGTAGGAGGTCTCCCACCCAGAACATTTTTAGTACCAGAAACGTCTTTCCCTCGATTTGATCAATATTTATGCACAATTTGAAGGTTTTTCTACACCACTTTGAAATTATGATTTAATAATGTGTCCTCTTTTTATGTTCATCAGGTATATTTGCACGCAGTGATACATTTATTTAAAAACATGTAGACTTCGAGTTCTTGTGTTTCTGTTCTATTTTAGCCCTACAGAGTTCCTACAGCTGTAGCTTTGTACAGGCTCTGCAGCCTTTGTTGTTTTTTATGACATCATTGGACTAACTTTAGTTTTGTTTATAATCAAACATAATACAGAATGTGTTCATTCTTTGACACATGATCAAAGTAAGTTTTACAGAAAGAAGAGTTTAATTCAAAGAGGGGTCGGGACATCGTTGATTGACAGACAGACAGTCACGGTGGTTACTCACTCTCACCTGCCTGCTGCACACAACGTGTAACATCGTTTAGCCTAATCCCTATGAATTTGGTTATCACAACAGGTGAGCTTCGGGTGAAGAGGCTTGTTAGTAACTTTTAAAAACTGAGAGAGAACAGAAAACACCAACAGCAGCATTTGAAACACCGGGGTTATATCTCCCATCACTGACTAAGCTCTGCTCTGTCTGACTGTTAACATCTCTCCGGCACTTTAATCAGTTTCTTGTGTCACTATCTGAGATGTAAACCTTAACTGTGCAAACTATGCAGATAAGTTAACTGTTGCTCACGTTTGGAAAAATATCAGAACAGTTGGAGTTGTTTTTGCGGACTTGCTCTTAAGTTTCGTTTTCGTTTTCACCGCTGTGGAGCAAAAAAGGAGGGGGGGAGACGCGTCTTTGTCCGAGCATAAACTGCAGCATGATAGAATAAACACATTTAAGCCCGGTTCTATGATCTCTCTGCTCTGGCAGATCGTCAGCAAGTTCAAATCATTCACAATCTAAGATCGTTATACTGCATACCTCAAAGATAACCTGGCAGGCCATCAACCAACAATTTCGAGGAGCCTAAGAGAACTCAAGAGCTCCCAGGAAAATACGTGGTTAGTGACTGAGATTTACAGATAGATGCAAGCAGTAATATAATGTACTGTATATACACACAGAGAGAGAGAGAGAGAGAGAGAGGAGCTCAAGGTGCCAGTTCCCCCGGTAGTCTAAGCCTATAGCAGCATAACTAGGAGCTGGTCTACACCAGCGCCAGCCCTATCAAAAAGAAAAGTTTT